GGGAGGTAGAGCTTTGCCGTGCTCTGACCCCCTCGTGCTGTGTGTGTCCCCCTGCCCCGCCTCCCCAGGAAGCTGAGGGCCAGTTCGAAGGACATTCCCGACCCCTACGTCTCCCTGATCCTCCTGCCCGACAAGAACCGCGTGACCAAGAGGAAAACCACCGTGCGGAAAAGGACCCTGAACCCCGAGTTCAATGAGAGGTGATGGGGGGCAGTGATGGGGCTGGGGGTGGGGGGAGGCCTCTTCCCACAGGTGTGGGTCCCAGGCTCCCCTCACACCTCTGTCTCCCCCCCGGCAGGTTCGAGTGGGAACTGCCCCTGGAGGAGGCCTCACGGAGGAAGCTAGAGGCCTGCGTCAAAAACAGCGTCTCCTTCATGTCCCGGGAGAAGGAGCCCCTGGGGAAGGTAAGGGGGGGCGTCGCCATGGTTATCGCTGGGCTGTCATGTTTTGAGTAGGGCTCAGATAAAAGGGGGGGGGAGAACAGTCACCTGATTCCTGCTTCTCACCCCCCAGGTGCATCTTGACCTGTCGCAGATGGACCTGGCCCAGGGCAAGGCCCAGTGGTGAGTGGGGGGGGGGGCAGTAATGGTGGGAGGTCTGGGAATGCTCCCCCTCTCTGGGGAGAGCAGGCAGGACCAGTTGGGTCCCCCTGGGGAAGACCAGGACCAGTGGGGGTCCCTGATCGCTGTGGCCCCAGACCCCAGGGTGGGAAGGTGGCTGTGGGGCGGCTTCCCCCAGGCAGAGCAGCGCAGGGCCCCAGCCAGGGCGGGGCCCCCTCCGGAATGGGGCCCCGTGTCCCCCTGAAAAATCTCCAGCTCCCCAGGAAGGATGGGGGGGGTCCCTCGGCTGCATCGGGGACCCCGAGCGCTGTGGCCAGAAGCAGCGGGCGCCCAGCTCGGCTCAGCAAAGGCACCTGCTCCATGGGGGCAGGATCTGGGCTGGGGGGGCGGTTCTGGAGGCAGCTGCCCACCCGTTCACGCTCTTCCCCCTTGATCTTGCAGGTACAACTTGAAAGACGACAGGAGCAGCTCTTAGTCCCCCTGGCAGCCCCCCGCTTCCCAGCAGGGTCCAGCCCACGCCCGCCCCCGGCGGCACCAGCCTTCGCTTGTGTGGCTCTGAGCACTCGCATCTCTTCCGTTCTCTTCGGTGTAAAGCCGTGGGGGTGAACGCTGGGGGGAGGCTGTGGATGGGGGTGTCACCACCCCCCTTCCCCGCCCTGCGGCACTGATCAGGGATGCCAAACGCAATCTGCCTTTTAACTGACCAAAGAAAATGGACCCGCGGGCGGAGCCAGGCAGGGGGCTGGGGCCTCGTCAGCTCTTGGGCCCGATCCCAGATGGAGCAGAGCTCGGGCGGCAGGATGGGGCGTCTTTCCCCACCCCCCCAAGAACCCCACCCGCCTGTTCCGAAACGCAGGCCGTGCCGGACGGCACCGCGGGGCGGGAGTGGCCCGGCAGGTCCTAGCTGGCCGAGCTGCCGCAATGTGGTAGAGAGAGCAGCCCAGATCCCGGGGTGAGGGGCGCGGGTGAGACCCCGCCGAGCCGTGCAGGGCAGGGATCCCGTCCTGCGCGGCGAGAACCGCAGGGGGTTTATCGCCCCAAGAAGGAAAGATCCCCCCGCCAGACCCTGTACCCAGCAGCCGGGCTCCCAGCTCCAGCACAGAACCGCCCGGCCCCCTCCACCCCACTGCAAAATGTAGCCGCTCGTGCTCTTCGCTAAGGGTCTGGACACCCCCCACCCCACCCCCCCGCAGTGTCTCGCTCTCTCCAAGGTCCTTGCCTTGGTTTTCTTATTTTTTTTTATTTCCTTGTGCCAATTTCTTGGCTTTTTTACATTATTTATCTCACGTGCCTTTTAATTCTTGTTTTCAAAGCAGCCGGCTCAGGGTGGGAGAGGCAGGCTCCGGGCTGGCTGGATGGGGCAGGAGGGCTCTGCCCCACTCCTCCCCCTCCCGGGGCATGGGGTGAAGGTAGATTTGCTCTGGACGGTGCCCTGGTCCCTCCCTGCGGGAGCCGCCCCCTGCTCAAGCCAAAAACTCTCGCGCCGTATTTATCTGTATTGTGGAGACGCCGCTTTTCGAGTGTTTGCATCATGAAGGTGCCACGCGGCCGGCGCCAGGCGGGCGCCCCCACTGCCTGCGAGGCCGGGCCCG